GGAAGAGGTGGAGTCACCATCCCTGGAGGGGTTCAAAAAACGTATAGATGTGGCACTTGAGGACATGATTTAGCAGGCATGTTGGTACTGGAGTGGTGGTTTGACTTGATGATCTTAGAGGTCTTTTCCAATCTTAATGATTCCATGAATCTATGCCAAACAATACAGTCTCCTAGAAAAAGCTGACCAGCTTAACAGAAAGAACTGCCAAAGTTCCCAATGTTTTTCTGCTAAAGATCTTCTTAATCATGTCAATTTTAATACAAGATAAATCGTATTTATCATACAGAATAGTGACTTTGCTAAATATTAAGGACAAAAGAGTTTTCATAGAAATTGTACTAGTACCAAATACTGTACAAGTGTGATGCCATGAAGACAAATATTTGCAAAAAGAAATATTCATCTATAATAACTGTCTGACAGAACCAGACAAACTTCAGTTCTGTGTGGTGCTACCCTTCAATTCCTGAATCATGATCTTTCTAACTTTTCTTGATGGAGTGTAGAATTGAGATTTACCACAGACTAGTTAGTGCAGCATATGGATAACATTGATGAGGATATAGAAAACGGTAACTGGAAGCAAGCTAAGTCCACACAGAACTTTCTCAACATCACTGTGGTATAATGATTAGTGATACGTGTAATCATAGCTCTTGTGGAACGCGATCCTTGTGGAAAACACCTCTTAAAGGCAATTGCTTTTATTACCAGTCACTACACAAACGAGTTACTAATCTGTTATAATTACACTGGGAAAAATTCCTACTGAACACAAGTCTAAGTATTGAGGAAAAAGTAGTGAGATGTGAATGAGAACAAATAACCATTTAATTCTCCTCAAGATCTGGAGGGAAAGTAAAACTAACCAATTTAAACTCAAAATATCTCTTTTTCTTCAATTATGCAATCCCTGTAATTGATTTTCTTTCATCAGGGTCTCATGGGCAGCAGGGACTGAGGAACTCTTTTAGTTTGGCCAGCGCTCCATTTTGTGACTATATAATGCCGTGCATTAAGGTAACCCATGAAAGTATTTTAGATTCTAAAACACAAGACAGAAAATAATTTGGAGAGTTCTGAGAATGAGAGATCAGAAAAGTGATGCATACATTCTTTATAAGCTTCCAAAGCATACAGTAATGCATCAAACTAAGAACAGTACAAAAAGCCACACAAGAAGCTAAAGCAACAATAAGAGTGTTCAAGTTCTAAAACTATGCTGTGTAGAACACAGATCTTGCATCAAAAAAAAAGATACTTCAACAATTTCCAGCAAGCTATGAGGACCAAATGCCAAGCACTACACACTATTAATATCTCAAATATTGACAGAATATAAAATCTTACGAACATTTTCGTTTGCTTTGAAATACCAGGATTAACCGCAAAATCTTTTCACTAGATATCCTATGAACGCCTAAATTGCTTCATACAGCAATAACCTTCAGTGACGCAGAAGTTATCATGCCAGCTGTACAACTGCTGCTCTTTTATTTGCACTACACCTGCCCATGACCAGAAGGGAAGAAATATCCTGCCCGTGACAGCGCTGCATAAGAAGCCTCTCACTGTGCAGCACTTGGTCAAGCGCTAGAGGTTGCAAGGCAGCTCCTAAGTTAGTTTAGCTAACTAAAAAAGTTTTTAAGCAAATCTAGAGAACCCAGTGCTGAATTAAGCAATAATGACTTGAGGCCTAGGGCACTTCCTGGGGATTAGCAACTAGCTGAGAGGAGCTGATGGCCTGAGGCACAGCTAAAGGCCAATAACCCCCAAACATTTGTTAATACCCTACGAAGCATCTTGCATTTCCATTATTAATGTTATTCATTGGAAAAAGAAAAGTATACTCAAAGTTGAAATATGTGTATACAGAGATATTTCTAAAACATGTAGTATATGCCCATTCAACTTACCTATTTCAGAATATTTAAATTATTGAAGACCTTCTGGATATCAACGGATACGTGAGAATCGTTCTTGAACTATAATTTCGTATCAGGATTTAATTAGTTGAATCAAGTAGTAAAAAATCATGTAGAAACCACAGCAGAAAACCACACTATAACCAAATGCCTGAAAACCATCTGAGCATAATAAAATAAAAATAATTTTGTGTATTTATTTTTAACTGAGTTTGTCCTGCCATTTCTTTTATTGGTCTCAGAAGTATTACCTGAAATGCAAAGAAGCTGAATACTTCATCCCCCTTATGCCTTTGAATATTTTCTCCCTTGAGCCTCATCCAGTATTACCCTTGAGTAACAAACTCAAAACCTCACTGGGAACTGACAGCTCGTATCTCCCAGAGCTATGGTTCCAAGTTTGTGTTGTACAGTCCATTACTGACCAGTTTCAGAAGAGTCTGTGACTGTCTCCATTCTAGGAGCTTCTGTGGTAGGTGTCAGCCTTGGCTAACAGCCAGACTCCCACCCAGCCACTTGCTCCCCTCAAGCTGGACAGGGGGACAAAACAGGAAGAATAGGAACAAGGCGGCTCATGGGCCAAGCTAAAGACAGGGAGACTGCTTACCAATTACTGTTGCAGGCAAACCAGACTTGACTTGGGTAAATAATTCATTAACTGCCAACTAAAATAAAAATGCAATTGCTAATTCAGATAGCAGGAAAGAAAAAGACAAACCTTAAACCAGCACCTTCTCTCCCCCCTTCCCCAGGCTTAGCTTCACTCCATATTCCTTATACTCCCTTCAAGCGGTGCAGGGGATGTGGGGCAGCCGTGGTTATGGTCAGTACATAGCGTTTTCTCTCTGAAGCTCTTTCCACCTCACTCTTTTCCTCTGTTCCAGCATAGGGTCTTCATGGGCTACGGTTCCTTCAGAAACATTCACCTACTCTGCCACAGGTGCTCCACAGGCTGCAGTGGAGCAGTGGATACCTGCTCCACTATGGAGCATCTTCTGTTCCTCCTGACCTTGGTCTTACCTCTGCCGTTTCCTCCGCTGTTTCTCAGTCGTTTGTTACCTCTTCCACTTTCCATCCAGCATTTTCTCCCCTTTATTAAATGTTCTCACAAAGGTGTCACCAGGCTGACTGGCTCAGCTGCGTCCTGTGGTGTGTTCACCAGAACCAGCCATGCCTGGCACAGGCAATCCCTGGCCTCCTCTCAGAGGCCACCACTGCAGCTCCCCTGCTACCAGAGACTTGCCACCCGCACTCCACACAGCTTTCTAAGACTGCTGGCCTCGAGATCACCTTTCAGCATGAAGGCATTTACTGAAATTTAGTCACAAAAAATAAAATTGCTGTACAATTAGAAGTATTTTACTCTTAACTCCAGAAGGAACAGCCCAATAGAAATTGAGCCACGAAAGTCACCCAAATTTTAGTTTAAATTGTTGTCAAACTTATGACCAGGAAGGACATAGCTGATTGCCAATAACTAATAATTAAAAATTCAGTTGATGAAGCTTCACATAGACAGAACTGTGCAAATACCAGGAGTCCCACTAGAGGCGATCAAAGCTTAAAGATTTGGTTTACTTTCCATCTCTTCTGTGGTTTAAAGATAGCTCCAGAGAATCCATAGATTAAAATTAACAAAAATATGGCAATTCCTTTACTAAACCCCTTTGATTTAGTCATACAATTTAGAAGAGTAATTTAATTTTCAGTAATAAATACACATAGCTTTCATTCACCTACATTTCTTACCAATATCCTTTACATTCTACTCACAGAAGTCTTCAACTCAACTATCACTTAACATTCAAATTCAGCAGGGAGGGAGAAAGAAGGAGGAATCATATTGGAACCATGTTAAAAAAAGAGGAAAAAATTACAACTGACATTTGACAGAAAAATTACCTGATTATCATATCTAAGAGATTGTGTTCCAACCAAGAATCTTATTGCATCTGTTTCTGCTGTCTGAGGCGTTAAAGCTCGTGCCTAGGGAAGAAGAAAGCCATTAGAAAATTCCAATTAATACAATACATTAATTTCAGGAAAAATCTCGATGCCTGTGTATCAATTATAATTTCAAGCATTACACTCTCACAATCTGCAGACTTCCCTGCCCTTTACGTCTATTTTGGTTAATACATTTTTTTTTTTTTGTGCTGTTCCTCACATTTGTGAGGTGCATGGAACATACAGGTGCTAAATACATTACCTGGTCTTCATTACAACAGTGATAATATTCAATGTTATAGCAGTTCTTCCAAACTAATTCTCCTTTATGAAATGAAAACTCCATAGAATTGTGGACAGTTCTTAAATACGTTACCTACAATGTCCAAGAAAGAGGCTGTTCACGCAGGAGTTTTCAAACCATTCAGACTGAAGATGCCTGCATAATCATAAATTCTTTTTCTCACCGTTAACTACCAAGTTGAGAAGAAAGTTAAAAACCAAACCCTTCTTTTCCATTTCAGGCCACTAAAGATAATTGTCTGAATGACAGGAGAAATAATTTGTTATTTACCTATCAAAGTTTAGCCATAATCTTGGTTTTTTGTATTATTCTTGATAAGAATGCTAGACTCTCGGCCCTGCTTCTTCAACTTGGACCAACCACAGTCTTGGAAGAAGTAAAACAAAACAGTCAAGGGCCATGGGAGACATTGAGAAATAAAGTATAGCTTAAGCTAAAACCACAATTGCTAGGTTGCACTAGTCATTAGTAAAGACCCTCTTACCTAATTTTGAGTAAGTGGGAGGTAAACTAACACGTGCGGCTGCTAAAAGTGCCTCTGAGTGAACTGTGAGGAATATCTACTACCTCCCATACAAAAGATACCCTAATATTGTTCAATATGAATTTTTTTTGTCGAAACAGAAAACCAAACCTTTACAATTCACATCCTCTTTCGCACAAAATAGTTCAGATCTCTTCAGACACTAAAGCCACTATTGCAAGCAAATACTTCAGAAGAGTTCAGGTAATTGTTGAATGGTCCTTCTTACGGCTATCCCCTTGCGCAGCTAGTTAATGATTATATTCTGGATTCAGTAGCATTTAGCATCAATATAGTCCTGTTTAAAACTTATTTTTACATTAATATTAGAAAGATGCTTAGAAGCTTGGAAGGCAATATCTGAAATACATTATATCACAAATACATAAATTTAGAACAATTTAGTTCTAGAACAGCAACTTGAAGTGATTTGGTTTTTTGTAAATAAGGCCAAGCAATCCAAGCCCTTGTCTGACAGTAACAGTAAGAACCAACTCAAGAACGAATAAGCTCTGAACTCCTACAGAGCAGACACACACTTCAGATGTACGATAAGAAGTGATTTAGACAATGTAATACTATGCTTAAAATGCAGCATAAAAGCTAAAAATAGTCAGTGAGCTTAGTAAGTATAGGCTAGTAGTGTGACATTTATATAGAAAAAAGCACTATGGAACATGATTCAGTGAATAGTTTGTGCTTAAAACATACTCAAATGCAGATCAGAGATCAGCGTGAATTTGTACTGATTTGTTTGTACTCTCCTACTTATGCAGCACAGACCTACAACAAGCCTAGACAGTGTTTCTGATTGACAAAAACAACTAAAGTTCACCAAGAAGATTGCAGAAAAGCTTTTCTTTTGTCTGGAAGAGAATTTACATTTGCAGATCTTTGGCAAGAGGTCCTTTTCATTTCAGATCGGCTTTCAATTATTTTTAAGAAAACACTAGAAATACGCCAACAGCTATGTATCTCTTTCAATCAAGAAAGCTTCTGTTGTTTCTATAAGTCAGTCACGAGAGACCTCCAGGATCTTCAATGAAATAAAGAAATGAAGGGGGTTTTCACCCCTTTTAAAACCTTCTGAGTAGGTCTTATCATACTGCTTTCAATAATGCATCAGGTTAGACACAAAGTATCCAAAGTAAAATTACGTCAATACATGGTAATATTTATGTCATCAGCTTCTCTATCCTTTTTTAAACTGTTTTAAAATAATTTTTCATTCTGCAGGAAAAAAATAGAAAAGCCTAAGAAAAAATATTTAAACAAGTTTCACAACAAGAAGCACACTACTGTTTATTCTCTGCTATGAAAGATTACAACATCCACAGAATACAAGGATCAAACTCATCAAGCGTTCATAAATCATGAAGATCTGATTCATAATAGAAATCACAGTACAACAGACTTCCTGTTGTCTCCTGCACAAAGATAGGTCTCATTTTGTCTACTTTGAGTTACTTTTAAAGAAACAGTTATTTCGACAGATGATGAAGACACACAGTAACCCTTGTGATGAACAACAAAACTGAATTTGGAGTGCTGTCGAGATCAGGCAGAGTGCCTTAAGTTTGTCATCTTGCACTATAACCAGTTAGAGCAGGTTGCAAAACATCTTTCACAAAAGCATCCTACCTCTTGACTTCAGCTTCTAGATAGAACAAAAAGCATACTACAATGAATATCAACTAATCTAAACCAACAGAGATTATTATTTTTCTAAAAAGTCAGCATCCACAGAACACTAAACTGCATATAGCCCCCAAGAGTTTACCGCCTAAGATGTTAAAGTATTAATTACTAAGAAAAATGCTGTGATGCATAGAAAATACCCACCACACACACACCTGAAAGATGTGAAGTGAGAAAACAAGTCATCCTTATACACACTGTCACAGCAAAGCCCCACCTAACTGATGCTAGTAGACAATACAACATAGGCAATTAGATAATTTCATTTTTAAAGGAGGCATAAGACTAGGAAAAAATTATTCGCAAGCAAAGTTTATTAAAACATCACGAACACAAAGAACCTTTTGGTTACATCTCCAAATTTCTTATTCACCAACAGCTCTATGAGGCAATGTGCATGTTTTAAAGTACGTAAAGATTTATGAAACAGGGGTGACAGGGCATCAATCACAACCCACTTGCCTGCTAACCAAATATTTTAACAATCTAGAAGGAAGTTTGTAAGTATGCAGTCAAAAGTTCACTCAGCTAATGCAAAGGAGATCCTGCCTTTGGAAAGCAAGCACCAAAGACTCCTCTATGCCATACAAGTCTGACAAGGAATCTGAATGAACCATCCCTCCCTTAGAGGCTTGTCAAAGTCTGCGTATCTATTCTGCACAGTAGTCGGTAGCTTTGCTAATTCTCACTTATTCCACTAAATTAAGGGTTGCACACAGTCACAAAACAGAAGACCAAAGGAACATAACAATTATCAATTCATCCCCGAGTTTTCAGAGAAAAAAAAAAATCTCTATGGCTGAGCAACTGTTGCAGAGAGGCGGGAAACAGCATCCTCATTCTCCAAAGG